GACATCTGCTGCTGGTGCTGTGAAGGTGGAGTCAAGCAGCACTGACATCTGCTACTGGTGCTGCTGTGAAGGTGGCGTCAAGCAACACTGACATCTGCGTGGTGCTGTGAAAATTGGAGTCAAACAGCACTGACATCTACTACTGGTGCTGTGAAAGTGGAGTCAAGCAACACAACATCTGCTACTGGTGCTGTGAAGGTGGCGTCAACAACACTGACATCTCACACAGGTGCAACGAAGGGAGGAGTCAAACAACACTGACATCTGCTACTGGTGCACCAACGAAGGGTGAGTCAAGCAACACTGACATCTGCTACTGGTGCTGTGAAGAGTGGCACGTCAAGCAACACTGACATCTGCTACACTGGTGCTGCTGAAGGAATTCAAGCAGCACTGGCATCTATCTGGAAATGCTGTGAAGGAGGAGTCAAGCAGCACTGACATCTGCTGCTGGTGCTGTGAAGGTGGAGTCAACCAGCACTGACATCTGCTGCTGGTGCTGTGAAGAGAGTCAAGCCGCTGACATCTGCTACTGGTGCTGTGAAGGAGAGTCAAACAACATGACATCTACTGTAGTGCTGTGAAAATTTGGGTCAAACAGCACTGGCATCTTTCACAGTGCTGTGAAGGTGGAGTCAAGCACTTTAACTCTGCTGGTGCTGTAATTAGAGTCTAAACTAGCAATATCTACTACCTGAATTTTTCCTTGAGAAATCCAAACAGCACTGACATCTCCTGCTACTGGTGCTGTGAAAGGTGGAGTCAAGCAACACTGACATCTACAGTGCCATAGAGGTGAAAATAAAACGCTGGCATCTACTGGTGCTGTGAAGAAGAGTCAGGCAGCATGGCATCACTGGTGGTGCTGTGAAGGAGGTCAAACAGCACTGACATCTGCTGCTGGTGCTGTGAAAGGTGGAGTCAACAACACACAGCATCTACCATAGTGCTGTGAAGGTGAGAGTCAAGAAGCAACACTGACATCTACTGCTGGTGCTGTGAAAGGGAGGTGAAGTCAAGCAACACTGACATCTACTGCTGGTGTAGCCGAAGAGAGTCAAAAACTAGCACTGACATCTCTTCCACTAAGTGCTGCTGTGAAGGAAAGTCAAACAGCACCGGCATCACTTCACCCCGGTGCTGAAGGTGGAGAGTCAAAACAGCACTGACACATCTGCTAACAGTGCTGTGAAGGTGGAGTCAAACAGCACTGACATCTGCTACTAATTGCTGTGGTGGAGTCAAACAGCACAGCATCTGCTATGGTGCTGTGAGAGAATTGAGTCAAACAGCACTGACATCTGCTACTGGTGCTGTGAAGGTGGAGTCAGCAGCACTGACATCTACTACCGGTGCTGCATGTGAAGAGGAGGAATCAAACCAACACTGACATCTACTGCAATTAACAACTGAAGAGGAGAATTCCATTAGCCTTGACATCTGCTGCTGGTACTGTGAGGAAGGAGTCAAACAGCACTGACATCTGCTGCTGGTACTGTGAGGAAGGAGTCAAACAGCACTGACATCTGCTGCTGGTACTGTGAGGAAGGAGTCAAACAGCACTGACATCTGCTACTGGTACTGTGAAGGAGGAGTCAAACAGCACTGACATCTGCTACTGGTACTGTGAAGGTGGAGTCAAACAGCACTGACATCTGCTACTGGTGCTGTGAAGGAGGAGTCAAACAGCACTGACATCTGCTACTGGTGATGTGAAGGTGGAGTCAAACAGCACTGACATCTGCTACTGGTGCTGTGAAGGAGGAGTCAAACAGCACTGACATCTGCTACTGGTACTGTGAAGGAGGAGTCAAACAGCACTGACATCTGCTACTGCGATGAAGGAGGAGCCAAACAGCACTGACATCTGCTACTGGTGCCAGGAAGGAGGAGTCAAACAGCACTGACATCTGCTACTGGTGCTGTGAAGGTGGAGTCAAACAGCACTGACATCTGCTACTGGTGCTGTGAAGGAGGAGTCAAACAGCACTGACATCTGCTACTGGTGCTGTGAAGGTGGAGTCAAACAGCACTGACATCTGCTACTGGTGCTGTGAAGGAGGAGTCAAACAGCACTGAGTCACATGTGCTGTTACTGCTACTTACTGTCAATGATAAAGTCTCGCCACTATACACCAGCTACCGTCTCCCTACAGGAACATTGGCTATATAATTTACGATTTTTAAGCATTTTTAAGCCCAGTTTTAGGTATTTTAGCGATTAATTTTAGGTATACTTTTTTTTAGGGGTAGCTTTTAGGATTTTTATTGTCTATATAGTTCTCAGGTAAGAGACAGAGGCTCTACCTGTTCTCATACTAATAAGAGACGTAACCAATAAGAGGTCGTATGTAAACAAGAAAGTCACAACCTATTAATTAAGTTCTCAGGTAAATAAGAGAATTCAACTCAATGTATCTTCCTCCTTCTTCCTCCTCCTCCTTTTCTTCCTCCTCTACCTTTTCTTCTTCCACCTCCTCCTCGAGCTTCTTCTTCCACC